CTTTCCCCTCTCTCTCAGACTCAGTTTCCTCATCTGTAAAGTGAAGATGCTAGCATTTCCATTACTCTTCTCACAGAACTGTAGCAGAGAAACCATTCAGCCAATTTTAGAGTGCCTCCTACATGCTTCCTTAATGGCCCAAGCCATTTCAAACACCTCTAATTATCAGGAAATTCTTCCTTCTATTTGAGCTGAAATCTGCTTCCCTGTCACCTTTGGCCAAGAAGCCGCAAAGAAAAAGATATGAAATGGACATTTAAAGGACTCCAGCCTCCGGAAACATCAGCCCCTGGATGACACAGCTGGGGTTCACTTGTCCCTCCCTGGCATTTTGTCTCTCACTGAATCTTTGCTCCTTGGTTACATCTGGATGGTTCTGGGCCTGGAGGCTAGTCAGCTGTAATTACCGGTGAGCAGCCTGGACTCCTGGACTAGAAAAAGGAACTTCAGGTCCCCAAGGGCTAAGGCAACTTCGCAATTCACCTGCCTGCACAACGACCTCGGCTAGTCTCCAACGCTGCCCCACTTGCCCCATCTGACAAGCCTAGACAATCCAAGAATGGCCTGTGAGCAGAGCTGTTTGGATACTGCCCATACGCTGCCCTGAAGGCCCAGTCCCTCTTTAATTCCTCATAATGGATAAGTCAATTATTTCTGCAGCATTCAACATGTCGGGTGCTCAGTGTAGACTTAGAATGTGACAAGATGGAAAAAAGAAGCACAGACATCCAGCTTTCTCTTTCCCATCACTCTACTCCCTGCCCCAGCCCTATAGATCAGGCGTCACTCACTTGCCTTTCCAAGGCCTTATCTTTAGGAAGGGAGAGTATCCATTTCTCCTCTGGAGCCCTCAGCCCTGCTCCAAGAAAGCCATTATAGACTTAGTCATCTTTATTTAGCCTCTGGTTTCTTGGAGAGTTCTAGGAAGGAGGGCTCAGGAGACAACAGAAAAGATAAGCAAACCTAGAATGACTCACTATTCACTGATTTTTTTAGAAGCATTTCCCCTACCCACTTTAGTTTAGACACTGTGGGGCTCTAGCTAAGTAACTAAAGAAAATCTGGGCAGATCCTAAAATTCCATCTTGTATGTAGACAGAGCTTCTGCTTTTCCAAGGACACCCATGCCTACAGAACCCTCCTACTCAAGGGGCAAACCGAGTACTGTAATTCGATTCAAGAGCACTAGATTTGGAGCCAAAGGGTCCGAGGGCCAATGCCAGCTCAGCCCTGGACTCTCCAGATTAGTCTTCCTTCTCAACCTTCTCAACCCTGGCAAGGGCTCCAGCCCTGCAGCTGCTGCCTCCTCCTCCTCCTCCTCCTCCTCCTCCTCCTCCTCCTCCTGGTGTGAGTGTCCTAGAGCCTCCACTGCGCCAGCCGTGCTTGCTTCTAAAGGCTGCCTTTCCACCCTGCCCAGCCTGTTTCCAGAGCCTCGTATATGCTGTCTTACCTACATTAGAATAGAAGCTCCTTGAAGGCAGGGACCTCTGCTTTTCCTATTTCAGTCTGATACATGTGCCTGATACGTGACAAGTGCTTAATAAATACTTTATCCATCTATTCCTCTACCTATTTGGGAGACTTTAAGAAATCAATAAATAAGAAATATTAAGCACCTACTGTGTACCAGGAGATGGGGATAAAAAACAATAAAGCAATCCCTATTTGCAAGAATCTTATAATCCAATGGAAGAGATAAGTACGTTCTGTTGCGTTACACGTTGTGTTAAGTCATGTGTTATGCTATGTTATACTATGCTATGAACTGTGGGCCCATAAGCTCACCCCCAAAGTCTTGCCCTCTGGGTGAAAGTTAGCAGAGCTGGCACTCGTCCGTCCTAGTCTTTGAGAAGCCTGGGTCTGCATCATACCATGACAAGGCTTAATAGGAGAGATTTAGTCACAGATGTCAGTAAAATTTCAAGAACGTAATTAGCTAAATTAGTCCCCTCCCAATCTGGCAGGGGGAAGCTTCCCACCGGGGATTAGCCTAGGCAGACCCACCACCCCCTCCCAAGACATTCTCGGTCCCTATCGGGTGGTGGATGCTGGCAGTTTCAGGCCTCACTGAAGCCAAGAGCAGTACCAAAAAGCTCCCATCACAGGGGACTAAAAATAGCTAACAAGCTCGGGCCAGGATAGGAGTGGGATTGACAAAAGCCACCAACGCTGGGTTGTATTCTCGTTTGCTTGTTGTTTTTAAAGTTGGGTTCCTTTCAATGGGAATTTCCTAAGAGGAAAAAGTTTCCTCTGACCATACACACAATATGTCTGAAAACTGGGTTGGCTTCAAAGAAATCCGTTCCTTGTGTAGAGTCAAAGAGCTCTGAGCACACACAGCTGGGTCAGGAAGAGGTATGAGAACTGACCAGCTCAAGATGGAGGCAATAGAGCACAGCCACAGGAATGTTACCTAGAACTTGGGGGCCCTGTCGCTCTCCCGCCTTGTAGGTGCTGAAGTGCTCCTAGGTCCTCACTCCTCCCTTGGGAAACAGGAGGACAGAGAAGCTGGGGTCCTTCATGGAGGGAGAGCTGAGGTCACACAGCTCCCTCAGGAGGCAGGACTGAGGGAGAATAGAAGCTCCCTAAGGGCAGGTCCTGGCTTCTTTTTTTGACTCCCTCCACAAAGAGCCCTGTAGGAAGTGGGGAGTTACAGTTTGTTCTTTAAATGTCTTATCTCTCCCCACTAGAATTTAGGCTGCTTGAGGGCAAGGATCACCTTCTTTTAGCATTTAGCATTTGTATCCCAGGTGCTGAGCAGAATATCCCACTCACTCTAAAGGCCTAATTAACACTATCTGGCAGAGTGAGATCCCAGAGGCTGAGTCCAACTCGCTGTCATTTACATACAGAGCAGAGGCCCAAGTAGCTGAGGCACTTGGGTAGAAAGGGCCACTAGATCTGAGCCTTAAAGGAAGCCACGGATTCCGAGAGGCAGAAGTGAGGAGGAGGGGGAGCATCCCAGTCATGGGGCACACCAAGGCAAAGGCACAGGGAGGATCTTGGGAATGAAGCTGATTAAGCTTTTTTAGGACAGCTAAAAAAGTCACATCAATCAACCAGCATTTCTTTCATACACTATTATCAATAACAACCCACATAGTCACGTGCACGTGGATTTCTGATCACATAGCCCCCGCAGGAAAAACTTCCCCAGTTCTGTTAGGTTCTGTCACAGAAGCATCAATATTTAGGCCAAATTGGGGAGAAGGGGAATTTAAAATTTTATTTCTCTTCTCACCAAGAAGAAAATAAACCACTCTATTATTTTGCTTTAACAAAAACGACATTGCTTGCTTGTCACTAACTTGGCTTCAGTGCAGTTACTCAGTATAATAATAACAGTAAGAGCTGGTATTTCCACAGCACCTGAAGGCTTGCTAAGTGCTTTACACATAGTATGTCATTTGAGGCTCAAACCAATCCTACAACCATCCCCATTTGTGGAAAAGGAAATCAGAGAGGTTAAAGGGGCTTGCCTGGGGTAACCACTTAGTAAGTGGTGGGGGCAGGATTCCAACCTAGGTCAGCTGACTCTGAAACCAGCACAAGATGACACCAGGTGATCGTCCTGAGGGGTACACACAGCTTGGAGGTCTGTCAATGCGGAAGAACATTTCACCTTCCTTCTCTTGCTGTACTTGATCATTTCACGCAAAAAAAAATTTCTTTGCCTCAAAATAAAAAAACCAAGGCAGGGTACCCCATGTATTCTGTTCCTAACGAGCACAGATTGTACCTGGATTGGGAACACCATTGCTCTGCCCTACAAGGAAGGGATGAATCAACAGCAGAGGCTGGAGAGGTGAACCAGAAACCTTCCCCTGAGCACAGGAGGTCACAAGTAACTCCTCTCCCTGAGGGCTCTGTGGCCCAGCCTGAAAATGGCCCTTTCTATCAGAATATCAGAGATGTAGCCTGGGGTCTCTGCTACCAGAGGCAGCTTGTGGCTTGGGTCAGCATCACATGTGTGGAGCTCAGAGCATCCAAACCAGCCTTTTCATTTTACAGAGGAGAAAACTGAGGCCCCGGGGGGAGAGAACAGTGGCAAAGGGGAAGGAGGAGAGGCTCAGGTGAATAGGTGGTGGTGAAGAGAAAGAAGTAAAGGGGGTAAAGAGGTGAGTGGAGGTGATGGGGAGATAGGGAGGCAATGGAAGGGAAAAGAGGTGATGAGTAGAGAAGGAGGTGATGGAAAGGGGAAAAAGGAGGAGCTGGGAGGAGAAGATGAGGGCACAGGAAGAAGCGAATAGGAATTATGGGGGAAAGTTGGGGTATGAGAAAGATCATGAGTGGGGAGAAGGAGGTTTTTTAGGAAAAAGAAGATGAATGGATGGCTAGGATGGTGGTAGGGAGAAAGGAAGGTGGTGGGAAGGAGGAGGAGGAGGAGGCAGTGAGAGAAGGAGAATAATAGGGAACCAGAGGAGGTGATACAGTAGCTGCACTGCCAGCTGGTACCAAAACATTCCCGGGCACAGCTGGTTGCAACCCTCTAAGCGCTGATGACTGTGTATTCTCCTCACTTCGCTGTTCAGTTAGAAGAGAAAGTGCCCTTATGAAAATCAATCGCAATACACCCCTACTATAAGCCAGAAGCTGTGGGCTGTGGGCTGGAATCCACCAGAAGTGTCGCTGGCACTGCCCTGGGAGGTGGGCACTGGTTCTCTGGACACTTGGTTCCTCTTCTTTGTCCCTCTCTCTGTTCATGTTTTGCCCACCGATGGGCAAAGAGACCTGAAAGGGACTGAGACCCAAATCCCAACACCAGCTCGTGGCTATTTAAGACCTTGCAAAGAAGCCACGAGGGAAGAGGCTGCACTGCCCATAAGGAGGATTGTGCCCAATTATTGGGCAATTTAATCCGTCCTCAACTGGTCGAGAGGTGACTGAAAGGAATGGAGTTGAACAGGGAGAACTGGATTTTCCAGCAGCTAGAACCGTGGTGGGGGGAGAACGATGGGGGCAGGGCCAGGCTGAGTGAACCTTTAAGTTGCTTGGCTAACCTCTACCTGTCGACTCCCCTGCTTGGAGGAGCAGCTGCTGGTGCTCCGAGAAGGAGAGACCAACTTCTGGGGCAGCCCCAGGCCCTTCTCATCACTCATGATGAAGCCACTGGCCACTGGAGCTCCAGGCGATCCTGACAGCAGCGGCAGACTCTGGAGCCTAGGGATGGAGAACCACCAAACAGGCAGGGAGGTCCCGTCTCAGCCAGTGCATTTTAGTGGTATAGTCGGGGTCCCAGAGGAGCCTCCTGAAACAAAAGGAGAAGACACACGGATCACACTCTTCATACACACGGACTGCCCACACTAAAGCCCGGGGTCAATAGTCAATAAGCCTTCATTAGGGTCTCCTATGCCTCGGGCACTGTGCTGAGCTCTAGGGATACAAAAAAAGGCCAAAGACAATCCCTGTCCTCAAGGAGCTTACAGTCTAATGTATTAAGCAAAGGTTAGCCAGGTGTCTCAGAGCCAGCCCATCTGCCACACCCCATCCTGCTAGTCTGGGCCTTGGGAGGCAAGAACTCACTCGTCATAGTCTTGCTAAGAATTGGGGGGGAGGGAGTCTAGGAAGGAAGGAAGGAATTTATTAAGAGGATTTATTTAACACCTACTATGTGCCCAGCATTGTGCTAGGTACTTCACATATTATCTCACTTAATCCTCACAACAATCCTGAGAAGTAGATGCTGTTATTATCCCTATTTTATAGTTGAGGAAACTGAGGCAGGCAGTGGTTAAGTGACTTGCCCAAAGTCACACACCTAGCCAGTGTCTAAGGCTGGTTTTTAACAGTTTACCACTGCACCACCTAGCTGCCTAGGGATCCAAGGAAGTTTCTTGAGCAGGGATGAGATGTGGTCAGACTTTAGGAAGATTATTTTGGCAGTGGTATAGAACATGGATCTGAGAAGCGTGCGCCTAGAAGCTGAGAGTCCCAAAAGGAGAGCATTGAAATGGTCTGGGTAAGAAGGGATGACTACAGTGTCAGCCCTCGAAATCAAGAGAAGAAGATGGAAACAAGAGACAGTGCAAGGTGAATTAGCAAGACGAGAGCTGGTGGGTGTAGGGAAAGGCCAAGAAGGAAAAGACAGGGGAACTGTGAGCCTGTGAACCTCAGGAACTGACAGGAAGAGGGTGCCCTCAGTGCCGTCGTTCAGGCGTGGGGCCAGGTGTGGGGCCAGATGTGGAGCCAGGTGTGGCGCCAGTAACGAAGAACATATTGAACTCGAAAGACCAAAGAGACAGAGTCAGAGGCGTTGAACAGGGAGCTCAGCAGTCAATTCAGCAAACATTTGCTAAGCAGCTGCTGTGTTCCAGGCTCTGTGCACTCCAGTGAGGGTACAAAGGAAAAGCCCAACACCAGCCCCGGAGGATCTTATGCTCCACTCAGGGGCTCATGATGTACACAAGCAAGGAACTCCAAAGCGTCTGTGAACACATCTACAAAGGCATCTAGACACATCTGAAAAACAGAGACAGAGACAGAGATAGAGAGAGAGAGAGAGAGAGAGTGTGTGTGTGTGTGTGTGTGTGTGTGTGTGTGTATGTGAGGGAGGAGAAAGGGA